CAGTAGGTGTTCATCTGGAGATATTACTGCAGTTATTCTGACGCTTACTTGATCAAAATCAGTCAAGATTTGACTGCAAAGCCTGGCCGTTTCTACAATTACACTAAAATTAAAACACATTTTGATCATTCCGAGGCTTGGAATGTGTGCATCAGATATGACCCAGGCTCTATAGGGTTAAATGAGCGACTCTGACCCGCCGGGTGTTTCTCGACGCCGGGTTTGATGAGTTTCCACACTCTCAGGCTGGGCGTCTCGGTCAGAGGAGGCTCTCTCCGCACCGGGATCCGGCTGGGCCGAGGCTGCAGCTCACATCTGAAAGACACTCACAGACTCAGAACCAGTTCACTGTGCTTCATCACGTCTGTGTCTGCGTCTCAAATGCTGACGTTCACCTGCTGTACTCGACAGACGTCAGGATGTCCAGAGATTCCTGCAGCGGCTCCTGAAAAACAGGCCCAGTGCTGCTCACATCCATTAGGCGTCTGCATGTGTTTCTGTGCCGATTCCCTACCTGTGACAGCAGCGCCGTCCTCTGCTGGGGGGAAGGAGAGGGGGCGGGGCCTCTGCCGGACTTGCCCCGCCCACCGTGCCTTTGAATCTCTTTAATCTGTCCGGCTGGGTGGAACTCAGGGCAGCTGTTGCCTAGGCAACAAGACAGACAGACACAGCCAGTTATAAACAGGTTCCACGGTAACCGTGGTAACAGTGGAAGGAGCTATGTGACAGGTGACAGTGGAATTGTAAAAAAAAGGTCAAAGGTCACAGAAGCAGTTCAAACAGGATGTTTATTAGAGAAAAGTCAGTTCGGATGCGTCTATCATGTTTTACAAGATACATTTATTAATGAGCACAGCATCATGTGGTTTACAGGAGACACGCGTGATTGGCTGCCGTTACACATTGAGAGACAGACGGGACGAGAAAACCTACAGCGTCAGCATGAACACACCGTGAAACAGCGAAGAGATGTGGAGAGAACAGGAAGCACACGACACCGAGCACCAGATCGCGCTATATTCACACACGCGGCGTCTGCTACACGCTACACTCGTCACACACAGCTCTGCTAAGCTGGTTTTGAGCCGTCTGTACCGGTGTGCTTTACATCTGTAGGCTTGACATCAGCTGAAGGAATTCTGGGATTAAAGCAGCTTCGTGTGCAAACAGCTGCGTTTCGCTCATCAGTGATGTTATATCTGCAATGCCACGCACACTAGAACGAGAGAATCTCACAGAGAAATCTCATATTTCACCCCAAACATACAGAAAGAAAGAAGAAATTATATTTGTTCATAAACAAAGTGAAGTCTATTTTTAGGGCCATTAAGATATACCTTTGATTTTTTACCAAAAAAAAAAAGAAAACATTACTATTCAGATTTTTTAAAATTAAAATCAGCATATTTAACATTTAAATTGTGACGTATTAAGGAATTATATGTCTTACTAAATTTGAAAACAATATATAATTATTTTGCATTTCAGAAAAAAAAAACAGGTTTGAGAGGAAAAGGTGCTTTACGGTCAATGGATCTAAAAATGTAAAATATATACATTTAGGCAAAATCTAATTTCTAATTGGTTTTCTTTTGATTTTGATGTGAAATATGATTAAGACTCGCATTGTAGTGAGATTGACCCGCATACACAGTGAGTGCGACAGATCCAGCAGAATAAAGGCTATCAGATCCAGCGCTCACAAACAAAACCAATCAAACTGTGGGAGAGAGTAGAAAACACACTCACACAGGCACAGACACAGACACAGAGAGAGACACACACTCACTCACTCACACTCACACACACGCAGGTTTGTTTTTATGGTTTATGGAGACTCTCCATAGGCGTAATGGTTTTTATACTGTACAAACCGTATTTTCTATTGCCCTACACCAACCCTACCCCTAAACCTACCCCTCACAGGAAACTTTGTGCTATTTCAGATTTTCAAAAAAACTCATTCTGAATTATTTATAAGCCTTTTGAATTATGGGGACACTGAAAATGTCCTCATAAATCACCTTCTCGTTGTAATACCTATGTCATACCCATGTTATTATACAAATTTGTGTCCTCATAAACCACATAAACATGCACACTCACACACACACACACACACACACACACACACACAGATGCTGCAGACCTACAACACATTATTCACTGCTTCATCCTGATGATATATATTCACTCTCAACACAAGAACCAATAAAGGTGCGGCGTGATCATCTTTCATGGCCTTTAACGCCTTCAGCGAGTCTGAAACGTGACGTCACATCCGTATTAGTGTCGTCAGATTCTTACTAGTGTCCGATTTCTTCAGCTTTCTCATCATGATCATATTTCGACCCAAAAGCAGAACGTGTTGTGACATTTTCATGGCCATCTTCTCATTACTGTAATGCAAAGACACCCGATTCTCATTACTCAAAAGTACAATGTTTGGTTGCACTGCAGTAATTAAAATTAGAGGTAAATGTGTTTAATGGTTATTATAATGTCAAAAAAAAAAAAAAAAAGATTATATCAGGTTTGATTCTCTTTATGCAAAATAACAAAACTAGTAATTAAAGTTTTTAGTAATGAAAATTTTAGATTTAAATGTGTTTAATTGCCATGGAAATAATGCAAAAAAATTCTTTAAAAAACAGGTTTAATTTTCTTTATGCATAATAATAAAACTAGTGAATTATGCAAAACTAAAAACTATTTTGTTATTATAATTTTAGGGTGAAATATCAGAGTGTGTACAATCCAGCATAAAAAATAAGCAACTATCAGGTTTTATTTTCTTAATGCAAAATAACTAGTGAAAAAAAAGGAAATTATGATTTTAAAAATAATATTTTTTAGTGATGAAACCATTCAATAGTAATTGTTTGTCATGAAAATAATGCCATAAAATAACAAAATGCATGCAAAACAAGAAAACAAAAAATGCAAAATTTGTATTATCATTTTGGGTTGAAATATGCTGTGTTTTCATGAGATTCACTCATAATCATGTGCAGTTTGACCTCATATTCAATGGACGTAGAATCTAAGGCCTCATTACCACTAGATTTAAGCAGAATAAATAAAATCTCCTTTTTTTTAAATGAACATCTCTAATAATCATTTCAGGTGCTACATGGGAAAAAACATCAAAGGATGTAGAATCCAACTTAAAAAATAAGAATAAAAAGAAAACTTAATTCCACACACACACACACACACACACACATACACACACAGGCAGTGAGGGGCCGTCACTGCGGCGCGGGCCCCGGGGCCGTCCTGCTGTCGCTGAGGTAGGTCTGCAGGGGGGGCAGTTTGGAGAGCAGGCTGGGGCGGGGCATGGCCTGCAGGGAGGGCAGGATCTGAGCCAGGCTGGGCGGCTGGAGCGAGTACAGACCTGCCATACTGATGGAGCAGGGGCCCGGGGCCCCTGAGGACGAGGAGGACGGGGAGGAAGACGAGGAGGAGGAGGATGGCGAGAGAGGGGGGCGCGTGGGGGCCGGCTGCTGCCGCAGGGAGAGCCGCTGGTGCTGATGATGCGGACGCCTCTTCTCCTGTGCTTTAGACTCTACAAAACACAGACCGGCGTCAGACACACGACGACACCCAGACCAGAGCTACTGCACGCAAACACACCGCAAAGCAGCTACGCCAACTTATGAAGCTTGTAGATGCCACAGAACAAAAACATTTAAAACAGGTAATTGCGACTTTTTACCTCGCAATTCTGACTTTATCTAGCAATTCAGTTTATATCTCATAATTCAGTTTATATATCTCAATTCAATTTATATCTCTCAGTTCAGAGTTTATATCTCATAATTCAGTTTACACGTATAATAAGTTTTTTAATTTAATATTGAAATCAGCAAAATTGAAAAAAAAAACGGCACATTTTCGTTTTTCATTTGTTCAACCTCTCCGCTGATTGGTCAACCAAACATTACAACATAATAATAGTCCTTAAAAAACATAATAAGAGTCCTCCGCTTTAACGGATTCTTGACATCATGTTTATTTCTACTACATTTGATCTCTTTCTCTTCATCAAACAGCCAGATTAACGAATGGCTTGACACAAACCGTACTGAGGCAGAGCACATGGGACTATTTGTTCCTCGGAGTGCTTGTTTCAGTGATTGACTTTAGTGAAATGTGAATTTGACGTCATATTTTGAAGGTGAACTCGTTTTAGTTATCAAGAACATATCCAAACCCTGAAATAACATTTCAACCAATAAGCCAGTGTCAGCTGTGGCAGAAATTAACTTTCCCATAAAAGGCAACTGATTTTCTTTTTTTTTTCTTTTGTATGTAATCTTTAATGTTAAATTGTTACATCAAATAAATTAGAATAATATAACAATAGGCTGTTACCAATTACAACACTATTCAGAGATATAGCCTGCGTCTGAAGACGCTTTTAGATGCATTTACAGTTTAATGCTGATCAGACGGCTGAATGTGTATTTACATAGCAATTACAAATATATAATGAAATGAGATTAATGTTTTATACAACATTTTTAATACAGAAATATGAACAAAATGAAATGATACTTGAATTATGAAAGTAATATCGCCAATATATGTGGCGCCGCCGTGACGGTAGCCTATTTCATTGTGTTAATAAAGGAGCCTTTTATTTAATCTATTCCTTCAAATTGCTCCATTCATTCATTTAAGAATAAAATGAAGTGGCTGTCTATAATAATTGGTAATTGAATTGTTGTCTATAAAAATGGGTCTTTCAAGGACTCTGATTCATTCAGGAATGATAGCCTACACCAGTTCTGTGACTGTGGTTTAGTTAACGAGACACTACATATTCAATCGCGTTTGCCTCCATATTTTTTGATCAGTGCTTTACTCCAAAAGTGCGCACATATTGTAATATATAAAGTGCGCATGTATTCACACGTTTACCTCATATTTCTTTAATAGAATCATCATTTCTTAGTGACTCGCAGAAAGACGATTCTCAGCTGATCCATCAGTCAATATTGCGTGATCATAATTCCCACATTACGGTGACGGTTCTGCGTTCGGTTCTGCGTTCTGTCTCATAATGCATTTATGCGTCAGTTTATTTACAATGTCTTCATTAGACCACAATAGAGTGAGTTTTGAGTAAAAACATTGTGTATTAATGTTATACTGTCACTATTAATTTTTTTTTTTTTTTATCCCAGCAGGATAAATTCAGGATTATTCAGCAGAGACTGAATTATATTTCCCCCCGCCCCCCACAAATCGCACCCTGGTGGTCTGTGCTTGTCTACAATACATTCTCCCAGTGCTGCCGTGCATCGCGCAGCTTGCCACACAGATTTTAATAGGTGGTTAGCTATAATAGATAAGGTGGTGTGCCAAAGATGTAGGCTAGTAGGTAGTTGTGAGAGCAGGTGCAAAGTAAATAAATATTTATGAGATAAACTAATATTTCATGGGCAGGTTGCAGAATTTATATCTACACAAAAGAAAGCTCTGTCTACGCTCTGCCTCAGTACGGTTTGTGTCAAGCCATTCGTTAATCTGGCTGTTTGATGAAGAGAAAGAGATCAAATGTAGTAGAAATAATAAACATGTCAAGAATCCGTAGAAGCGGAGGACTCTTATTATGTTTTTTAAGGACTATTATTATGTTGTAATGTTTGGTTGACCAATCAGCGGAAGAGGGCCGTTTCACTCCCGCCCACAGGTAGAGATCGAAAATTCAAGTTGTTTATTCATTTTCTATTCCTGAACGTAAAAACAAAAAATGAAGCCGAATTCTTGATTTTTCGTTTTGTTTGAACAAATGAAAAACGAAAAATGTGCCGTTTTTTTCAATTTTTCAGATTTCAATATTAAACTAAAAAACAAATTATACATAGGTACACGGACCACAGTTCAGAGTTTAGATTTCATAATTCAGTTTAGATCTCATAATTCAGAGTTTATATCCCACAATCTATTAGGAATAGTGTTGTTATTATTAACTAAAGCTAAAACTACAGAAACGCAGGGTTTAAAGAGAGTTTCCCTCTTTGTAATTACAACTTTTTGGAGGTGTTCATGTGCATTCATCGTAAATATGATCTATCTTATTTTTTTTTATAATGATGATGATGAAGTCAAGTAGCTTCGAAAGAGATGAGTTTTCAGCTGTCGCTTGAGAATTGTCAGGGATTCAGCATTGAATATTCAAGTAGTTTACTGTCCCTGGTCCCTGAACGTAAAAACGAAAAATGAAGCAGAATTCTTGATTTTTCGTTTTGTTTGAACAAATGAAAAACGAAAAATGTGCCGTTTTTTTCAATTTTTCAGATTTCAATATTAAACTAAAAAACAAATTATACATAGGTACACGGACCACAGTTCAGAGTTTAGATTTCATAATTCAGTTTAGATCTCATAATTCAGAGTTTATATCCCACAATCTATTAGGAATAGTGTTGTTATTATTAACTAAAGCTAAAACTACAGAAACGCAGGGTTTAAAGAGAGTTTCCCTCTTTGTAATTACAACTTTTTGGAGGTGTTCATGTGCATTCATCGTAAATATGATCTATCTGACATGAGCTGAATGCACCATATCCCATACAGGGATAAACAGTGTGTCTCTGTGCTCTGACCTCTGACGGGCCCCAGGCTCCGGTGTGAGGGCCGCTGTGCTGCGGGGCCAGACGTGCTGCAGCCGAAGGTGAAGCTGGGAGAACTCTTGAGCTGAGGAGACGTCTGCCGGCTCCCGTGAGCATTATTAGTGCTACTGCGCATCCGGATCAGGGAGTTTTCTGAGGCAGACATGCTCAGACTTCTGAGAAAACACACAACACAGCGGAAGATAGCACTGCATTAATACAGGGCTGGAAAAATATGGTGAAAATTACAAATTTGCAAAGGGATGAAAAAAAAACTGAACAAAAACGTTATTAATGTGTCAATAAACACAAGACTGAATGAGCTCACATGAGAACAACTAATTAAAGTAAAAAAATAAATAATCACACTTCAATTGCAGAAAAAAAACATTTAAATGTATAACATTAAAAAAAAAGAAAATAAGGATTAAACATTTAAAATAGCCGATTGGATGTAAAAAAATTTAAATAACTGATTACATTTAAAATAACAGATTCAATGTTTAAATTTAAAATAACTGGTTAAATTGGAAACATTTAAAATAACAGATTCGATTTAAAACATTTAAAGGGAACACTTTACAATAAGGTTCCATTAGCTAATGTATTTACTCACATGAACAAATAATGAACAGTACATTTATTACAGTATTTACTCATCTTTGTTAATGTTAGTTAATGAAAATACAGTTGTTCATTGTTAGTTCATGTTACCTCACAGTGCATTAACTAATGTTAACAAGCACAACTTTTGATTTTAATAATGCATTAGTAAATGTTGGAATTAACATGAACTAAGATTAATAAATGCTGCAGAAGTGTTGTTCATGCTTGGTTCATGTTAACTAAACTAATGTGTTACCCCTTTAAAATAACTGATTAAATGTGCAATATTTCAGATAACTGATGGCTGTAATCCTGCAGGAAAGCGTTCTCACGCAGGTTTGGGCGGGCTGCTGGTTTTGGCGGGGTTCCTGCGGTTGTTGGAGGCGAGGCCCTTGCTGTTCCTCACGTGTTTGAGGATGGAGGCGCGCAGGTTCACCAGGCTGCTGTGTTCGGACAGAACCAGCCGCGGCCACGGGTTACACTCCTCCATGTCCAGAGCTGCGATGGCCACCGCGCGCCCCACCTGCTCGTACACCTGCGGCGTGTATTTGGGCGGGAAAGCGGGCGGCGGAGGGGGCGTGGCTCGTCCGTTATCGTGACAGGCGGGCGGGATGCTGTTCACCGAGCGGCCCGTGTTGTAGTTGCACTCCAGTGTGTAGCTGAAGACAGAAAACACACGTTTGTTCACACACACACCTCACAGCGGTTTAACACTGGCCTGCTTCTGCTTCTGGGTCAGTACCTGTGGATCAGCCCGATGGCTTTGTGAATGGCCACGCGCCCGCTGCCCTCCTTCGACTGACCGTCACGTTTGTCGCGAGTGTACATGTTCTTCTCAGAGAAATTACAGCCCAGGAAATCAAAGTGAGCACAGTTTAACGCGATCAGCTTCGGATACAACATGTTCTCCACCTGCAAAACAGAGAAATTAAATAACATTTAAAATAACTGATTGAACATTTATCATTTAAAATAACCATTAAATGTTTACCTTTTCAAATAACTGACTCAATGTGTAACATTTAAAATAACAATTACATTTGAAACATTTAAAATAACTGAATGAATTTAAAACACTTGAAATGATTACATTTAATAGTTTAACAATTAATAAATGTCTTTTCATGAGGCTAGAAAAATGAAGTTAAATGGCAAAAAGGATGAAATGACAACTGAACAAAATCACACTGCTACTGTCACTCTGATGTTACACACACACACACACACACACACACTCACTCACTCACACACACACACACACACACAGACACAGACACAGACACAGACACACACACACTCACAGACACAGACACAGACACAGACACACACACACTCACAGACACAGACACAGACACAGACACACACACACTCACAGACACAGACACAGACACAGACACACACACACTCACAGACACAGACACAGACACAGACACACACACACTCACAGACACAGACACAGACACAGACACACACACACTCACAGACACAGACACAGACACAGACACACACACACTCACAGACACAGACACAGACACAGACACACACACACTCACAGACACAGACACAGACACAGACACACACACACTCACAGACACAGACACAGACACAGACACACACACACTCACAGACACAGACACAGACACAGACACACACACACTCACAGACACAGACACAGACACAGACACACACACACTCACAGACACAGACACAGACACAGACACACACACACTCACAGACACAGACACAGACACAGACACACACACACTCACAGACACAGACACAGACACAGACACACACACACTCACAGACACAGACACAGACACAGACACACACACACTCACAGACACAGACACAGACACAGACACACACACACTCACAGACACAGACACAGACACAGACACACACACACACACAGACACACACGCAGACACACACACACACACACACACACACACCTGCTGACTCTCGCCTGGCAGGTTGTTGCCGTACATGAAGCATCCTCTCTTGGAGGCGTGTCCGTGCAGGTCTATATAATAGGCCACACCGCTCTCCTGGGGCGAGATCTGCTCAGAGGGGGCGGGGTTTGTCACACCCAGTGCTTCACCTCTGCTCGGCGTGGATTCGTTCTCATCACAGGGCCCCGCCTCCCTCTCAACTCCGCCCTTCTCCCAGCTCTCCTCCAGTTGCATGGGGATCTCGGAGAGGTCAAGGGTCGGCCCCTCCCCTCGCTCTGCCTCGTTGCGCAGGTTGAGACAGTGCTCTAGTTCAGTGGGCGTGGCCACAGGAGGCGTGGTGTTTGATTGGTTGGAGGTTTTGAGGGCGGAGGGTGTGCTGTTGCCGAGGCAATTGTGTATGTGGTGGTAGAGCAGCAGAGATTTGGCGCCGTAGATGGATGGATGCAGATCTGGACTGGGGTTCACGTACTGTCTGTTCAGATTCACGCCGCGCGAGTCCGTCCTACACACACACACACACACATTCACATAACTAACTTACATTTAAAACAATTCAAAGAACTCATTAAGTTAAAAAAAAGTGAAATTTTAAAAATTTTAAATGAATTATTAAAATGTATAACATTTAAATTAAAACTGATTAAAATGTAAAAAACTAACGTCTCGGTTACGTATGTAACCCTCAATCCCTGAAGGAGGGAACGGAGACAACACGTCGGTGACCGACGAATTGGGATCTCGCTTAGAGAGACCAATCCACTTTGAGTGTAAACTAAATGAGCCAATGCACATTGGCATGCAATGATTGTTTGACGTGAGAACACAGGAGGATACCGGCTCCACACGAAGGCTATAGAATCTAGCGAACAAGTTGGGGGTTGCCCAGTCCGCAGCTCTACAAATATCTGTCAGCGAGGCACCACGAGCCAGCGCCCAGGAGGATGCAACACTTCTAGTAGAGTGAGCTCGCAACCTGAGTGGGCAGGGCACACCCTGTGCCTGAAAAGCTAGGGTGATGGCATCCACAATCCAGTGGGCCATCCTCTGCTTAGAGACGGCCTTCCCCTTCTGCCGGCCTCCGTAACAGACAAAGAGCTGGTCTGAGGTCCTAAAGCTTTGCATCCGGTCTACGTACCATCTCAAGGCTCGGACGGGACAGAGCAAAGCTAGGGCAGCGCTTGCAGGTTCCCTACCTGATCCCTGAAGGGGGTAGTAGGAACCTTGGGCACATAGCCGGGCCGGGGCCGGGGCCTCAGGATTACCTGGGAGTCAGCCAGCCCAAACTCTAGGCACGAATCTTCGAAAATGCGTGCAGGTCCCCTACCCTCTTGATGAAGGCCAGTGCAAGCAGAAGCAGAGTTTTCATTGAAAGAAACTTTAGCTCGACTGACTGCAAAGGCTCAAATGGGCCCTGCTGTAGTGCTTTGAGCACTAGAGACAGGTCCCAAGAGGGTATAGAGGGGGGCCGGGGAGGATTTAACCTTCTTGCCCCCCTAAGGAGCCTGATGACCAGGTCATGCTTCCCTACCGAATTCCCTTCCACGGGGTCACGTTTAGCAGCAATCGCAGTGACATAGACTTTAAGGGTGGAGGGAGACAGCCTTCGCTCCAACCCTTGCTGCAAAAAGGAAAGCACAACCCTGATCGGGCATCTCTGGGGGTCTTCTCGGCGAGAAGAACACCACTCGACGAACAGGTGTCTCGTAGACACTGCTCTCGCCGAAGTGATGGTGTCAACTACCTGCTGGGGGAGACGTTCCTTCGAACGTGAACCGCAGAAATGGTCTGTGGTGCGGAAGGATCGACACATGAAAGTAGGCATCCTTCAGGTCGATCGCTGCAAACCAATCTCGGGGACGGATGCACCCGAAGATGTGTTTCTGCGTCAACATCTTGAACGGTAACCAGTGAAGAGCCCGGTTCAAGACACACAGATCCAAGATTGGTCGTAACCCACCGCCTTTCTTGGGCACAATGAAGTAGGAGCTGTAAAACCCCGTCTTCATATCGGCTGGAGGGACCGGCTCTATCGCGTCCTTCGCCAGTAGGACTGTGATCTCCGCACGCAAGACAGGAGCATCGGCCGCCTTCACTGCCGTGAAGCAGATGCCACTGAACTTGGGGGGACGCCGGGCGACCTGAATCGCATAGGCGAGGCTGATGGTCCGCAGAAGCCAGCGAGACGGGCCGGGCATGCAAGCAGGACCAGCGGAACCACCACCGTACCCGCAGTTGGGCAGCGAAGTGGAACGCAGGGACCCAACTCAGGCGGCTCATGGGCGGACCGAAGAGGGGTCAGAGTGTGCGGTGCAACACTTACCTGGTTCCACGGTTTGGCAGAGAGTGCGTGAGTAGGGCCTTTGATGACGCTCTGAGTGTGGTCCGGTGTTGGTCCGTCCACGACTCTCCGTGCCCTCTTGGGACCCAGAGATAGAGAAAACTATTCTTTTGTCGAGAATTTGGTTGCCATCGACTGTGAGGCCGACGGTGGGGAAAAACTAAACAAAAGATTCTCCACCCAGCCCTCCTCCGGGGGCGGG